CAGTGATTGCCAAGTTCTGTTTTGTTCAGGCAAAGTTGGCCAAGGTCAACAAAAAGGCACTTCCATTCTCACATTTTAGTAACATTTAAAAAAAAAAAAATGCTGTGACAGTATATGCTTCACATGAGTCGTATGGAATAATCCGCGTCACTCTGTGCCCACGCAGCGTGAGCACACTTCATTTCCTCAAGCGTCGGTTGGCACTGCACATACAGTACATGTGCAGCAATGTTACAGTGTGTAAGCATGCCAGCGTACACTCATGGGGAGACTTTGTACAAAATCTTGGAAGTCTGTACATTTCTCTACTCTCATGGAGTTCAGCAACCGTGGCCAAGTGGGTGAGGTTGGCACCTGCCATCCTAGGGAAGCCCCTTCAAGACTTTCCTCCTCCCTGACCAGGGTGATACTAGTTTGGAATTTTTCAGTGTGGGCTTTCCTGAATGAATCCACCTCTTAATACAAACAGTGTAGTACAGCACCCTGTAACCTGATAACGTTATAAGCTGTCCACTATAGTAACCACTGTCCCTGAAAGAGTTAAATAGACTGAATCGTCTATTTAATCAGGATTCAAGACTCGCGACTCAAGATACGCGGTTCACGGTTCAGGATTCGCGGTTCAGGATTCACGGTTCTGGACTCGTGGTTCAAGATTCGTGGTTCTGGATTCACGGTTCAGGATTCGTGGTTCGAGATTCGCGGTTCAGGTTCACAACAGTGCCAAAATAACACATGACAAATCATAATAATCATGATTGAGCTTGAACAAAGTCAAACACTAAAAAGATGATTCACGTTCCCGTTCTCCTCATATGCACTTCCACAAACTTATTTCCTTTCTAGTCAACTGTTTGCGCTAAGTAAAAACTAAAAATAAGCAGAACAACAGTGAATAACATTAACTTGCCAATGTGCTCCTTATTCTGCTCCTAATCATGCTGCTGCATGTTGGTAATGACTTGCTGTTGTGGCAACGCTTTCTGTATTTATGTCATGAGCATCGGGGAAAGACGAGAAATAGTACAGCGCAAAAGCATCATTTGATGCAGTACACATTGTGATTGTGACATGACAGCTGATTGGCACACGGAGCTACGTCACAATCACACATGTTGAAACAAACAACCACTCGAGGTCACACTCAAACCTAGGGACAACAAACAAACCTGCTCTAAGAAACATTTAAAACAGAATGAATTAAAAAAAAAAACTGATGAGAAATCGAAAACCATTATCACCCCGAGAGATGCTAACCACTCATCGACTGTGTTGCCCATGAAGAAAACATGTTCGAGTTCATTTGTCGAGGAACACTTGACTCCAAATGGAAAAGGGCTCTGAAACGGTGGCATGGTGTCAACACGACTGTTCTTGGTCAAGAGCCTTCTCGCACTCTCCACTCCGCCCTTCGATCTGTCTTCGGTATATCCGCCCACGCTGTTTTCTGTTGCTTTTGCTCTTTTCACGCCACCACCATCTCTTCCTTCAACTTTGTCTGCTGCCATTTTTCCTCATCGCTCAGCGCTTCGAGCCTCCTTCCTCCTCTGGAAGAGTCATCAAATGAAGATTAAAGAGCCTTCACTCACTCACAACCGCGCGCGCGCGGGTGTGCGCGCGCGCGCACACACACACACACACACTCCACACACACACACACACACACACACACACACACACACACACACACACACACACACACACACACACACGTGCGCGCGCTCCCTTAGGAAACCTGCACACAATTATGTCTAGAATGGGATTTATTCTCAGCCTTCAACAACTAATTAACTGCATATTGCAAATTGTATGTTTCAGCAGAAAGCATTGATGAGGAACACTGGCAACGGGGAGCTTCGGGGGAGGCCAGAACGATTCCGACGCGTGCTACCTCCCTCATTTGCATTTCACATATCATACAGTGGATGTATATTCAGTGTACTTGCGTTGGGGTGGCGGGCGGGGGTTGATTAAGGTTCATATTACCATACAGTGACCTACAGGTCAAATATTTGCCAACTTTTTTATTTGCACTCAGCATTGTGGCATAAATATAATAATGATACACACACGCACGCATGCACACAAGAAAAATATGTTTTCTGCAGTCAGTGGCGGCATGCGGCACTAGTTTGCGAGTCAAATCACACAGTGTCAAGCTTGGGTAATTTGGTATTACTATGATGGATTCGCACCCTGAATATAGTATGTACAATATATTTCTACATACACAATAAAGCTCACTTTTGATGGACACCCTCATTGATCAATGTGACAATCAACGGCGTTTACTTCCATTCAGTGCAAAAGTGTTAAGACGGCATATGTTGTTTTCACCTGTTAGTTGGTTGCTTTGGCATTTCATGCGTTTTAGTACAAGCCCCATTGGGACTTGGCATATACAGTACACCAACAGTGTGAATAAAAAGAACATATTTTCCAGTAATTGAGTTGATAGACACACCGCCATCTTTCCATCTTGGCAGAAGTCTGCGTTTCAACCGAGTGTCTTTGTAGTTGGAATGCCCTTATAAAATTGCTTCTTTAGTATTCTAATTGCCATTTTTTAGGTCTTTTCCAAATACAAGAATGATTATTAAGCTTTTTTTAATGCTTGATGGACAACATTGGCGCTGTGACAGTTAAAAATTTTGCCAGTTCCACCTCACAACATGAAAATTGTTTGGCACCTTCACGCTGAACAGACACACAAAAAAGGTCGCAAGAACCCAAACCCAGAAAGACACAGGAAGTTTTGCAGCCATTTCGCACTAGTAATGTTCCCCAATTTCTCGGTTCACCAAACTACAAAAATGGTGTGCTGAATTTATTCAAGGCATGGTGGTCGACTGGTTAGCATGCCGGTCTCAAAGTGCAAAGGTGCAGGCTTCGATTGCGGTTCCGGCCTTCCTGTGTGGAGTTTGCATGTTCTCCCTGTGCCTGCGTGGCTTTTCTCCGGGTACTCCTGTTTCCTCCAAAACATGCACAGCAGGTTAATGGAACACTCAAAATTGTCCCTAGGTGTGATTGTAAGCGCGGCTAGGTGTTCATTTATGTGTGCCATGTGAGTGGCTGGCACTTTTTTTAATATAGTCCCTCTAAATCACATATTGTGGGTGGGACTGGAACATCCCCGACGATAAACGACTGTTCATCAGTTCCGTTTGGCAATTTTCAGCTGTCCTGCTCAAGATTTTGTCTGATTGTGACCAAATTTGAACCATTTAAACAAGCCTGATGGGCAACATTAAATGTGAAAAATGTGAGCTTTCATCATGGCGCCGTTTGATGACACGCCATAAAACATGAAAACTCCAATAAGCAGCTCCGCAAATGTCTTGCGTGTGATGAAATTCTCGCCCTGAGGAGATTCATAGATGCTCCCACTCCTCCTAGAAAAGTATGTATGTAATTACTCCACTCCTGTCACTTGGCTTCCTTCAAACTCTGTATACTCGCACAATGTTGTATGTCGCACAAGTAGTGGAAAATCTCTTCACCGGGGAACAATTAAAAAAAAAAAAAAAAAAATCAGTTTGCATTTATTGTTGGGCTTATCAGTGTGATGGAAAGGTACTGAAAGTGTGTGGATGTTGCATCCGCACAAACGCACGCTTCCACGGGGTGGAATGAGTCAGAGTCTAAAATTAGCAGCTCCTTTCCAAGGGCTGTTTTAATTGAAGATGGTGCATGGGATAGGTTAACAGCGCAGTTAGTGCAGCTTGATGGCGCAGGAAGAGGGAGAGGAACGTTCATCCTGGAGCAGGTCAAACGATGAATGTTTCTCAGCTCCGAGGGGACCGACACTTTAGCGTGAACAGTACTTTTCGCCTGCAACACCCACTCCCTGTGTGTTCTTTACTTCAACACGTAAGAATTCAATTAGAGTTGCGGCCAAAAGTTATGGCGGCGATTCAGATGTGATGTTTCACTATCTCCGTTGCTCTGGCATAAAACTGAACAAACACAAGATGCATCATGTTGAGCCTTTTGCGTCATACCATACTTCTCATAACTACAGAATACAGTATACCATAATTTCTTAAGTACTTGAATAAACAGTAATACCCATCCCCCAAATTGAACTCTTACAGAGGGATTTTCCTTGCACCTATGTATAGTACGCTGGTGTGCTGCATGTTTGGAGAGGCTGGCAGCTGGCACAGGTAGCAGCAGGAGCTAGTTTCCAGAGCGAGACGGAATAGCGACGCAAGAAGGGCTGAGTTTCCTTTGCGAAATGTTCAAAGCTAGCCAAAAGGAAACTGTAATGTGTTGGAAGGCAGGTGGACTATATTCGATAAACAGAAAAAGAGTATTTAGTTTTCATAAGCGAGTATCGTAGACATAACACGTCCATTCGTGAGCCAGAAGCCGAACCATTTTTCTGGGGAAGGCTTTTCAGGAGGCAAAATAACAAAGCCAGACTGTAGCCAAAGGCTATTTTCTTAACAGGCTATTTCATCTGAACAATATTTTTACAACAAGACTGCCACCTAGTGTTCAGTCAGACAACATAAAGTGCCTACGGACCCGCATTTCACAAATGATCAATCCAGCCAGTTAAGAAAGTTGGCTGTGTTGTATCACTCGGTACTGGCCCACCATGCTGGTGGCTAGAATGTATAAAAGTAAAGTTTTTAAAATTATTATTATTCTATCATCGTAATTATTTTGGTTTTGTGCAAACTGGGACAGAAGCACTTTAAATGGACGGAGGACGGACGGGGAAAATAAAGTACGGTGCCCATCTCTGTTAAGGACAATCAATAATGGAAAATGAAATAGATGAATGGACTTTCGGGGGCATTTTACTTTAGTGGTGATCATTTTTCTAGTGTATAACTGAAGCACAAATCCAACTTTACAGGAGGAGTAATCAATGATGCTCCTTTTTACTGGGTGAATCGTGAAATTGAAAGGGGGGGGGCAAATATGGTGGTGAGGAAGAAAAGGAGGTAAAGTGGGTCATACAGGAGCTTGGACGGGGGTTAGGATGAAGGGACAGCATGGCCTGTCGAAATGTTATTGATGCAGCCCGTGTACCCCCCTGTAGAATCCCCCCCCCCCACCCTTTTGACCAGCAATTACACCTCTCCAAATGATGATCCATACCAGCAGAGCAGACTTGACCGCGTATTGGGGATGGATTGAACTCTGTCTCCTCCTCTCCCATCTCTTTCTCGCGCACTCGCCGCCTCTCGCCCCCGTGTTCGCCGATGGAGACGGATGGCACCGGGCCACTGGCCTCGGCCCCTGCAGATTGATTATTGATCAGCGGGACAGTGATGGATTGAGGGCTGGAGAGGGCTGTGGGTGGAGGCAGAGGTGCAGAAGTGAGAGGATTTCAAGGAATTGATGTTGTAAAAAGTGGGCTTGAATGATGACACCGCGGCGACAGGTGGGCGCCGCTAAACTGCCACCTCAAGAGGGAGCTGTTGACCTAACCGCCAGAATTCGAGCAAACTACAGCTTTGCGCTTGAGCACGCCCTTCTTTGTTAAAACATGACTTTAGGTTACGTTCAACAAGTTAGAATTCAACACATGTATAAGAGCACAGACCTCAGCCATGGTTTTACCATTTCTGATCAGCAAATCAATGCATAATGGAATAAAGCATCTAAATAGGCCTTTTCGGAATGATGTTACACGTACTTCTGCATGGCAAAAGGTGGAGCTTCTTTCTCTGATGGCACAATTCTGTATTCTTCATGTGTACAGTGGTCTATTCCATTGATGGGACTGGGCCAGCCCGAGACTAGCGAAAATCTGCATATGATTGCCGCCCATTAAAATGGAATGGAGGGGAAAAAAGTGTATTTATTTTTTTAACACTCCAATTTTCTTTTCCCGAAAAATGCTGGTCTTTTTCCACTGGGGTAAATCGGACAACGCGACCCTTGTGAGGATAAGCGGATTGGAAAATGGCTGGATGGATGGATCATTGAGTGGATGCCCTCCAGCTACTACTGTTAAACAGTAATACTAGTCGTGATGTTAGCAGTGTTCGCAGTCTCAAAATTCCTTTTATCATTGTCTCCTGATCAGCGGTGAGTGTGTTAGTGAGGTAGACGTTTGCCAATGCGTGTTGATGTTGAATGAAGCTGCCAGCGGAGACACCAAGATGGCTATCGTTAGGCAATATAAGCGAGGCGCCGGAGAGTCACTGTTACTCTCCGGAGGAGCCGAGAGGTTAAACTGCAATCGCCACACTCTTATTTTAGAACCCACTTTTCATTGTTTTGTTTTGTTTTTTTGTGCGCGCGCGCATGCGTGTGTGTATGTTTACTCCCTTTGCACTCCACTGCGTGAATATCAGCGCGCATGATAAAGGAGCAGAAGGAGCCCGTTGGCTGCTACGCATGAGTGTGCTGGAAGCAGATACTGCAGGAAATAAATGACATGCAGGCAGCTTCCCAGCACAGAGCGTACGCTGGGCGCCTTCCCTGCCTGTGTGTCCTACCAAAGTCATTAGTTAGCCATAATGATTGTATTCTGCTTTTCAGTTAATTATCATCAACAATTTGTTATGAAGACGCTGTGAGTTCATTTCAACTCCCCTCTCGGGATGCTTCCATATGTTCCCAGATATACTGTATATGACACACTTCCACCCGGCCGCCCCCTCCCCACTGGGAGGTGTGGGCGTAGCGTCCCAGGAGGGGACATCCTCGGTGGATCCCAAAGAGTGGGAGGACTTAAGTTCTGGACACCCAAAGTTTACAGTTGGACAAGTTAGTACCAATATAAAGACGGATAAAACTACTAGATTACACAAATAGGATTCTTTTTCATGTGGAAAATTGGGTCATCAAGACGTATTTGTATATTATATTGTATATATAGAGTTTGGCGTCCTTCCTCATTTGTGTAAAAAAAATAAAAATTAAATGGTTCCCTTTTTATGAAGCAAAGAGAAAGATGTACAAAATCTGAGAAAATAATTTATGTAAAGTGGTACCTTCATTTACAAGTAGCGGCAAGCAAAAATGTGACTTAAACATGAGCTTGTTTCAAACTCAATGTTTTTTTTTCCCATGACATTGTTAGCATAAAGTTAGCGGCCTGATCTTCAGGCAACAGCATTTGGTAGTTTTAAAGTAGAATTTTTTTTTTTTCTGAAACGTCACAGCTATAAATTACAATGCACAGTAAAATACGTATGATGTGAGCTTTTACAAGTCAAACTTAAAAACAAAAAAAATGAAAATATCTCCCAAAAAAACAATGCGCTAAAAAAAAGAGTAAAGACATTTTCGAAATCAGCATGAAAACTACATTTAGGGACACGTGAAGCCATCGCCGATTAAAATTTGCTGTTGACCAGTGTAATTATCAGATGGATGTGCCCCAAACAATTAGCCGGTCAACTAGCACTTGACTATTTGCAATTACAGCCATTAAAAGGATTCCATTCAAGTGCTTCCATGAGCAACATGACATAGTGTAGATGACCACGGTGAACTAATTTATTCTTGCCACTCTGTAAAATGCAACCACACATTCAGTCATTGACATGTGTGGAATATTTTCACCAGCGCAGGCACATCAATGAGGATGCATAAACATCCAAATATATGCAGACAAATAAGTTTGCTGGCCGGCGGAGAAAAAGTTCCACAAGCCTCAGATCACAGTTGGGGGTGTGTGTGCTGCTTCTCACCGCACTCCATGATGGATGGAGGGAAATTGTGCAAATTAGGTGACGAGAAGAAGAGGATGAGCAGAATACAAGTACAAAGTAAGCGTGAAACATGCTCAAGGTCTCCTGATCTTTCAAAGGGGGTGGCCAGCTGTTGGTTGACTTGGCTCTGTATTCCGGCGCACCACAGATTTTGCTGAAAATGTTTGGAAGTTATCCACTGTAATCCTGCTTTTTAAGCCTACTGAAAGCAACGGCTGTAGTTTCATTCTATAATGTACATTTTGGACATGATGATTCAAGTTTATTGTGAGAAGATAAATTTGCTAGTTTTAAAAATGAGATTTGTTTCCTATAAGCCACGAGTATCAAACTCAAGGCCCGGGGGCCAGATGTGGCCCGCCACATCATTGTAAGTAGCCCGCGAAAGCAAATCAAAGATGACAAAATCTCTCCCAAAATTTCAAATTTTCATTTGTAATAAATCAGCGACATATTGCATTGTCTTGTTACCAAACCCCTCATTACTGTTACCGAAATAATAATGAAATAAAACATTCTTGACTTCTTTATATAGTTTCAGTCATAACGGCCCCCCAAGGGAAACAGTAAACATAATGTGGCCCGCGCCAAAAACGAGTTTGACAGAGCAGAGGGTTCAGCATGCTGTTAGGTGTGACAGAGTTTGAACAACAATTTGGTATTATCCATTGCTCTTCGCTCTCTCAATATATTATCCATCCATCCATTTTCAGATCCGCTTATCCTCACAAGGGTCGTGGGGAGTGCTGGAGCCTATCCCAACTGTCTTCAGGCAGGAGGCAAGGGACACCCTGAACCGGTTGCCAGCCAATCGCAGGGCACACAGAGACAAACAACCATCCGCGCTCACACTCACACCTAGGGACAATTTAGAGTGTTCCATTAACCTACCATGCATTTTTAGAATGTGGGAGGAAACCGGAGTACCCGGAGAAAACCCACATAGGCCCGGGGAAAACATGCAAACTCCACTATGAGGTTAACGCGCTAACCACTGGACCACCGGACCACCCTTCAATATATTATATGTGTTTAAAAATGAATTGCCGTAAATGTTATGAAAACATGATTAGAGAGTAATTAAATAAAGTAATTCCATATTGCAAATTGTCTTGCAAATAGATGTCTTCCTATTGTCATGGGACGCAAATCCCAAAACAATTGCAGTGAAGACTTTTTATCACAGGGACAATTTCCTTGAGAAGTCCGTCTGACTTTGTCTGCTTGTTTCATGTTTAAAATAAAAAAGGCTAGCATATCTTAGAATTTAGAGTTCAAGCACAAATCAGCCTGTGGATGTTCCTAAACAGAGGTCACTTTTACAGTCCATATGAACCGTGTCTTCCTTTAGCAACCGCGAAGGAAGTTAGCATTCATAAATCCACACAACTTTTTGCAAGCTATCTGCTGCTTCAAGGAAGCCAGATTGAAGACTTTTTAAAAAGACATTTTAAAGCCACATCCATCAAATTTATCATCCACTACGAGTGGGTGATGGGGGCTCAAGCCAGCTATCCATTTTCTTTACTGCCGAATCCTCTTTAGGGTCGACTTCGGGCAAACGCAGACGATGACCTGAACTGGTCACTAGTCAATCGGCGAACCCAGAAAGTAGTCACAGCTCTTTGCTTTTTCCATGTTTTGTTACGCACGGCCCTATGTCAAACATTTTTTTTTGTTTTTTTTCCATTGCATTTTTCCTTAGAATGCTACTCACAGCACTCCATAACGACAAAATTCAAAATGTTTGTTTTCAAATGTATTATAAATAAATAAAGAAACAAAGACATCGCATAATCACAGCCTTTTGTTGATGCCTCAAGTCTTTTTGTACTTGTATATGATGCTTAGAGTTGAGACGCCTATCTTTGGGCTGTTTCTCCCATTCCTCTTTGTAGCATGTTGTGATTCTGTTTTTATTTATTTTTTTGAAAGGTTGGTACATAGAATGTGGAAAAAGTGAAGTGCTGTGAATATTATATGGGTGCATTCATGCTTACATTCTCACCGTCGCCGAAACGGAGCTTAACCTACACTGCAGGACGGGCGAGTGCTCCACTTCCCATGCAGTAGAAAGAAAGAAAGTGGTCAACATATTTGTTAAACTGCATTTAGCTCGCGGGGAGCAGCATTTAGTAATGCTACGTAAATATTTGTTCCATGAAACAATTTTTCTGACTATTCTTGCTGCTTATACTTATTTTGGCAGATACTGTGTATGGTAGTATGTATTCTGTAAAGCTGCCACACACTGTCTTGTTATACAAAATCAAAAACTTACCTTCCTTGATATGTTCTTTTTTTTAGCTAGTTTTGACAATTGTATTTTGGTAGCTAAGCATGAAAATATTAAGTTATTAAATATTCACCCCGACCCCCTCCCAAAAAAGCAGTGTACGCTCATTCCACTCTCCGTTAGGCTAAAACGCTAAACACTTTACAAATGCAATTTATGCCACTATGTGACAAAGAATAACAAAGGCAAGACAAGAAGCTCCTTATTTTCAACTTCTACCATACGTTTGAATTGCTGATTTCAAAGGATTAAATCCACTGGAAGACTTTTTTAAGAATCCGCAGACACCACGCCGTGGATACGTGCTGTTAGTTTGTTGTGTCTCAAAT